GATTTTCATTTATATTATTAAGGTTATTTGCATCGGATCCGTGGCGCAATGGTAGCGCGTCTGACTCCAGATCAGAAGGTTGCGTGTTCGATTCACGTCGGGTTCAAAACCCCGGTTTAAACATGATCCTAAATTTTTTTGCTTACTGTTTTAATTTCATTAGGACTGTCACTGTTGGTGTCTAATGATACAACACAACACGGCTGATTCTGAGTCTTTTTACTATTCGACGCTGTTAACTGATTCTAGAAAACCGTTGAAATTGATTTTAAATTTCGTCAAACCGAGAACCGGTTTAAACCTTGCCTATCTCCACCATAAATAACCCTACTAATTGCATGGTGTTTCTCAATGACGACTGACTACTACAAAAAGGTGATAATAGTCTTAACTTCTCAAATAAAAATCTTGTCGTTGAGATTAAGAAGAGGTAGCTTAATAGCTTACCTCTATCAAAATGTTTTGTATATAAAGGTGTATAACACATGTGACATTGTTGATAGCTTAATAAACAAGATAGTAATTAGATGAACTAGACACTCTAGAGCAAAGTAGTCTCAATGAAATCAGGATATTTTTCAAATAACACATTTGCTAATGGAAAAACATAAGATAAGAAAATTTGAAACACAAACAAGCTAACTCATTTCTTGCTTCTTAAAAGACTAAACCAGTGTCATAAACCTCTTTACCTTCTTTTCGCCACATCAAAACCTGGAACCGGAAGCAAGCTTGGAACATAGTAGCAACCAGAACCACTAATTAAAAGATCCATAGAAAGAGTTTCAACGTTTTTGCACTCATCATCCTTTTCAGCAATGTAAACTTTAATATAATTCCTGCCACGAATAGACAGCACAAGCTTACCGTTTTTCTCAATGAAGTAACTTGAATATCTAGGACACATCGAGAATTCAGGTGTAGAAATTTTCATAAGCTTGCTCCAATGCTTCTTCATCACCCATAACTGTATCTTACCCGTTACGTGGGATTCATGTAACAAAGAAAGTTTATCTCCTCCGAAAACTCCCAAGGAATGAGAGTTAGATGATCCATTTGCTGAAGGAGGAAGAAACAAGGTCTCAAATCTCTCTTTGGAGAAATCAAAACTCTCTATCGTCTTACATGTTTTACCTTTTACATAGCCTATCCAATAAGGTATTCCTTTCAAGCACACGGTCGACTCTGGAAACTCTAAGAACCCATCAAAGATGTTATCAATGACCTTCCAGTAATTAGTTTTAAACTCATAGACTTTGATACTTGAATCTTTAGACTTGCCACAACGAAACCTAACCATCTTATAATCATCACCACATGATGGTCGGTTACTACTAACGTATCCAAGACCATAAGCATCTAAAGAATGGTCCATCTTTCCATATTTGATCCATCTTCCTTGTTTCAACAATGGATTCAAAACCAAAAGATAGGCTCTCATGACATATAGCAATAGACCATCACAATGATACATGTTCTTCACCGATAAACTCGAAGATAGAAGAGGTTCGAAAGCATGCATGTTCAAACGGGGTTCGTTGAGGTCGTCAAAATCTATGCCTACACAAACAGAAGAAACTGTCGTTGAGTCCGTAACGGGAGAAACTAGGGTAACGTCGTTGAAGACTGTGAATTGTTGCTCACGGCAACGCATGTTAGACAAGTGCTTTTTGATGAAACTCGAATCTGAGATTAGGGTTTTCCACTGCTTGCAAGTGTATCTGAATCGTTTAAGAGATTTAGATGGAACCCACGAGAGTATCTCCTCCATCAAATCAAAGGGAAGTTCCGTAGCCATATCGTCTGATTAATGATTATGACCTTTTGATTGTTGAATTTGATCATCAACCAGATGTGCCTTAATAGCCACGGCGAAGTTCCTGAATGCTGAAGTCCATTTATCAGATTAAGGCCCAATACAAATCCACATATATTTCTACTTTCTTACTAACTAGATTAAATAAAATAAAAATTACCGAGATAAGATTTTAATGATAAATTAATCTATAAGCTTCATTTGGTGACCATATTTCAGATAAAAATAATGGTAAAACTATCATTCTCAAATTTTATGCTATTTATGTTGATTTTCTTTGTGGATTACGCATATATAGGCCCCAGTCTATTGTTCTCACTATCTTTTGAATGAAATTATTATGAAGAATACCCGGACGAACTAGCTCAACTGGTACTATCTCAGGCAATTGCTTGAGAGGTCACGAGTTCGAGTTTTGGGCGGAGAAGAGTGTCTAGGGCCGTAAAAGGTACAGACGCAGGTTGACTCCAGGCTTGGGGGATTAAGGTCGAAGGTCCGAATCCATCCCGGTTAAAAAAAAAAAAACTATTATGAAGAAAAAATTGTATTCCCCAATTTTGATGATAAACTGATTGAATACTAACTCATATATTTCTATTTATTCCTTTCCACAACTGAATTTTTATTCACCATTTTATTTATTTTCGGTTTAATTAAATTGCCACTAATTGAAGCCTTAGTCACATATAACTCTTTCATAAACGTTTTGTCTATGGTGATGAATTGATGATACATAGAATAAAATCTTTTCTACATCAACTATCTAGTAGAACCCGTAAAAATTTGTGAATGAGTAAGAACCTAACATGTTAAAGTTATATAAATCTCATTTTAAAAATTTGATAAGAATTTTTTTTTCATGAATCTACGGAGGAGGTTCCTCAATCCCTCATAAATTGAACAAATTTTGAAAATAAATTAAAGGATAGTCTAAGAAAAATGAGCATTTTCATTTTTTTCTTACATGCTGGAGAAACAGTGTGAAGAATATTTTGTTAGCGGAAAGGTACTTATAACTTCGAAGATCCGGAGTTTCAATTCCCGGAGAAGGTGAATGGCGAATTATGCAGATTGGAGAACGCTTACAGGAGATCTTCAGCATGGCGCAAGGCGTACCGTCAGTAATGGATTTCATAGGGCGGCTCAGGATGATGCAGTCAAACGTGAATCCGCATAAGGCAGGTAGAATTGTCGGCTGTAATATCGTCTATGTAATATTTCTCATAGTTTGTAATGCATGATTATCCAGTGTTAAAAAAAAAAAAACTTCGAAGATCCGGAGTTTATACTAATGTAGGGCTGGGCATTTTATTCGTTAAATTTGATTCGATTCGTTATTCGTCTTGATTCGATCCGAAAATTCCGGATATCCGTAAACTTTCGAATCAAAGCAAATACTAAACATCAATATTCGTAAAAATTGAAGCAAATCACAAATATTAAAATTTTGGGAAGCGGATATCCGATCCGATCCGGAAATATATAAATATATGTATATTTTGATTATATTTAAAATTTTAAATGTATAAAACTATTATTATAGCTTATGATTTGACTAATTACATTCACATTATTACTTATATAAAATTATTAGATAAAAAGAAGAGAAAAATTATGAAAATTATAAAAAAGTCTTAAGTTTTGTGTTATTATAGTTGTTAACTTAAACATAAAAAATTATAAAATATGTAAATTCACTACTTCTTTATTTTTTATTTTATATATCATGTAAAAAAATTTACAAAATAAATTTATATAAGATTATTTGTAATGGATGAGATATTCGTAAGTATTCGTAAATATCCGCAAATATCTGTTTATTTTCCGGATATTCGTTTTTCCGGATATCCGTATTTTTCCGAAGTAAAACAAATACCAAAATCAGATATGCGTAACATACGAAGCAAATCACAAATACCTTCGAAAACCCGGATATTCGATTTGTGCCCACCCCTATACTAATGTATGTATTTAGATTGGTTGTTTAACACAATTTAAGGCCAAATGTGTAATTGAATATATATATCCACCTTCTAGGCCGTATATGATGAATTAAATAATTCTTTGTCTTTTCTTGAGGAGACAACTTTCGAATAACTCATTGACCAATTTCAAACTTTCAAGGACCGACCAATTTTTCAAACTTTTTTTCATGTCAAAAAAAAAAAAAAAAATCGCAATACAAATTCGTATTCCCCTTTGTACAACTTTTTTTATGCCTTCAAAATCAATATCAAGGATAATTGTATATGGTATGGTTAAAATTACGGAAAAATTAGCAAAATGATTTTATTACAATACAAATTTGATATGGGAACTTGTTATTCTTCCAACATTTATTAAATAGAATTATTCATAACACTGAACCATATAGTAAAAAAAACTAAACTTATGAATGAAAACTCTCATACGACAGGGAAATAAATGAGTTCAAAGATTTGTGTCAAAAACGTCTAGATGACTAATCTTCTTTAGTCAGTTCACTTACATACGTAAAAAGAAGCTCGTTATAAAATAGAAGAAAAATCTTCCTAATATAGTTTGCTCTAAATTTAATGCATGGATGGCCCAATGTCAGGCTTGGAAGGTTAGAAAATTTATCTAGGGTAAGAACGATAGTGTGTCCGTTCGTATAGTACTGAGTGCAACAACACATAATCTAAGCTTTGATAGTGAGACCATTATCTAAACTTTGATCGTTTTATATACATACTTTCCCCCGATTGATCCATTTATATCTTAGTAAGTACGTATAAAAGTAAGTATTATGACCATTTCTGTTTATAAGAGTGTTATGATTATTTTCAAAGGTATATTCTATGTTTTTACACTCCCCCTTCCAAATATTTGTTCTTTCATCGAAGTTAATGTTATTCACTGTACTACTGTAGCCCCAACATATTTGGGTGGAATTTAATTGACCACCTCACAACTGACAATTTCATTTAAATTTGGTAGGTCTGCGTCAGCTTATCAATTTCTTTTTGGTACCTAAAGAAAAACTTTGTATTTGAATTGTCGAAGATAGAATCTAACTATTAATTATCTTTAGACTAGAACTATACACACATTACACATCTACAATGCTTTTAATAATAATAGCAAAAACGTCACTCCAAAATTCTAATTCGCACATTGTTATATTCAATACAATGTAATAGCATGCATTAAATTTTCATATTATACTGTTATACAAGTACAAACACATGAACCAACCGAAATGCATATGATTATATATATGGTTTAACATCATCAGAAACAAAAGCATCACTGGAATATATTGAAAATGATAGTAATTAAATAGCTAAAATTAATGCATACAAAAGCATAACATATCACAAACCGGATCCATTCCAGTTTAAACGTATCCATCAAGTCCTTGACTGGATCCTAGCCTTGAGAGAATTCTTCATCACGACCGTAAATGCATAAGTCTCGGTCGGGTCGGGTGGAGAATCCGGAACCGGGATCCATTTAAACGAATGGATCATCCTAGCAAGCATCAAGTTAATATGTAGAATACCCAAAGACCAAGCCGGACAGATCCGACGACCCGCCCCAAAAGGCAACATTGTAACACCACGTGTCCCGGTCCAATCAGCATTAACACCATCTCCACCAGCTAAAAACCTCTCGGGTCGAAACTTACCCGGATCCGACCATATATCCGGGTTCTCAGTAACCCAAGCAGTGTAGAATTCCACATATGCCCCTGCCGGGATATCATACCCGCCAAGCTCAGTATCTTTCACCGCAGCGTGAGAGAGAAGAAAATGTCCCGGAGGATGTCTACGGAGAGTCTCTTTCACTATTGCCTCCAAGTAAGGCATTTTAGCCACGTCATCTTCTTCAACGACGCCGTTTTTGCCAACAACTCCAACAACTTCCTCGTACAGTTTCTCTTGTATGTTTTGGTCGGTCACTAGATGAAGTAACGCCCACTCAAGCGTAGTTGCACTCGTGTCCGTACCGGCAGAGACAATCTCCGAACACAAAGTCACGATCTCTTCATCTCTTAGCTCACCACCTCTCTCGACAGGTTTCAAACTAAACAAAGAATCCACGTAAGCCGCACCTATTGGACTCACCATCTCTTCGTTAGGACTCTCCTTAGCGTCAACAAAGGCACGACGGTTCTTGATCAACGGCACGAGACACTCGAGCTGCGTCTTCCTTAGCTTTCTCGCTTCTCTAACTTGACGCCGAAACAACGGAGTGAAAACCGGTAAAAAGTCAGGTAACGTTGGAGATGTTATGAGCATGACGTCTTTAAGAACATTCTCTATGTTCTTGATCTTCTCCTCGCTGATCTTGGCTCCGAAACAAAGACATATCAAGATGCTACATATCGTTAGCCTACACTGACTCATAACCTCGACGAAACCTTTCTCAACACTCTCCGTTTGAATCCTCTTCATATGATTCTCCATAGCCCACGTCCTTATCCACGAGCATTGCTTAACTCTCGTCGGTGTAACGATCTCAGTCACAAAGTTCCTCCTTAGAGTCCGCCACAAAGATCCGTACTCAGCCGAGTTTATGGCGCATTTTCCGACGCTAAAAATGAGCCGGATCGGTGAGTCTGGAGGCCTGGAAGCGAAAGTGGGGCCACGTTGGACTAGAGCCTCGTGGATGAGTTTCTCGTCCGTGACGATAATCATCGTACGTTGTCCCATTTGCATGGTGAATATTGGACCGTATTTTTTACGTAAGTCACGCATTATGAAGACGAAATGTCGACCTTGGAATATGACTTGGAGTAGGTTTCCGACTAGTGGCCATCCTTTTGGTCCCGGCGGGATGTTCATGCGACATTGGCTGCTTCGGGAGGAGGAGTAGCGGCGCCACCATAGGTTGAGGAAATAGAGAGCAAACAAGAATATGATAACATCAGTAACATCCATATTTGTTTAGTTTTTTGAAAGAGAGTGATGGGGATAAGTGAATAAGAATGATATAGATAGAGTAGTTTAGGGAAAGTTTATGGTGAAGATAGATTTAACTAGGGCTCTTATATAGAGAAGGTATGCATATCTATGTGTGATGGAAGTGATCTTCCACATGAACCGAGCCAGTAATTGGCCTCACCAACCAGTTTTGTGCATTTACTTCCTACTATATATAATCGGTAAAAGTTCATCAGAATTATAATTAGATATTAAACTAATTAATAGATATTTATCAGTATAAGACATTGTCATTGATCTAGTTGAATTATGCTTTCTGCAATGATATATTTTTAAGGTATATATGTTCATAGGGGGATTTTAGTCATCAGATTTTTCTTTGCCAACATTAATTAGGGGGATGCATAAATCTTTAACATATAAGTATCAATTTGCAACCTCGACCTTGACTTTCTTAGTTAAAGTTTTGTTGTTTAGTGTTTGGGGTTTAGCTTAGTTGAGGAGGGGAAAATGTTTGTTGATATATTAACATGTCTATTTAATGAAAGGTAATTCATTGCAAAGAAAGATTTTCAGAAGTTACAAATTATATATATACTGTTATATCCGTTCTGGCACACTCACACAAATTAAAAAGGGGGAAATTAGTTGCAACATTACTTCTACTCCTTACGATGAATTCGAATGCTCACAGTTTTTTCTCCAACAAATGTTCAGAGCTTCTACCATATTCCAGTAGTAGTAAAATCTATTATCTGTAGTTAGGGCTGGGCATTTTATCCGTTATATTTGATTCGATCCGTTATTCGTTTCGATTCGATCCGAAAATTCCGGATATCCGTAAACTTTCGAATCAAAGCAAATACTAAAATTCAATATCCGTTAAAATCGAAGCAAATCACAAATATTAAAATTTTGGAAAGCGGATATCCGATCCGATCCGTAAATATATAAATA